GTGCTTTATATGCACTCCAGGTGCACTGCTACAACAATAATTTTCCAAAAGGTAAGTCCACCGAGGCCTTAGCTGAATTGGCTTGTCCCTACATTTCTTAAAATTCAGTAAGCTGTTGAGAAGGTTATAAAGCTAACCAAGTTTAAATTTACTTTTGTAGGCATGTTACTGCGCTTCTTTGTTCATTTCTATGACATGGAGATCATTGAAGAAGAAGCCTTCTTGGCATGGAAAGAAGACATTACTCAAGAGTTTCCAGGGAAAGGCAAAGCTTTATTCCAGGTAAATCTGCTAACATTAGAATAGAGATTTTTTTTTTTTGTTATTTCTGCTGCACTAGAGTGTTTGAGAAGGCTTTTGTAGTGTCTGAGACTTGTAAAGATCCAGAAACTTCATGGAATATTTCACTAGGAAGAAGTTAAAAGCAAGATGAACTAAATCTCTTGTATTTACTAGAGACCTACATGTAGTGCAAGTGTGGCTGAAAAGCTTTTTAAAAGAGTTGGGGGGGGGAAGATGAGTGTTTTGCAGAAGTACCCAATGGGGAAACAATTCCTGCTCCCTTAAACCAATCTTGTGTGACTGCAGGTAAACCAGTGGTTAACCTGGCTGGAAACTGCTGAAGAAGAAGAATCTGAAGAAGAAGCTGACTAAAGAACCAGCCAAAGCCTTAAATTGTGCAAACATACTGTTGCTATGATGTAACTGCATTTGACCTAACCACTGCGAAAATTCATTCCGCTGTAATGTTTCACAATATTTAAAGCAGAAGTATGTCAGTAGGATGTTCTCTGCAAAAGGTTTTTGTAGTATGTCTTAATAGTCTACAATAAAAATATTTTAGAGTATCTTCAATGTTTAGGTAACAGTGTATTAGCAGCATGCAATAATTACATCATAAGTTCTCGAGCAGAAGCAGTCTGTTGCAAGGGTCTTCTTTGCTGCCAGTTATCATAGGCTGTTTTTAAGTTAGAAACTGAATAGCAACACTGAATACTGTAGAAATGCACTTTGCTCAGTGTAATACTTGAGTTGTTGCAATATTTGATTATCCATTTGGTTGTTACAGAGAATCCTTAACTGTAATCGATGGTTGTTGCCGTAATAGTATATTTGCCTGTATTTCTACCTCTAGTAATGGGCTTTATGTGCTAGGTTTTAATATCCTTGAGCCTGGGCAAGTGCACAAGTCTTTTTTTTTAAAAGGAACAGTTTACTTGCACAAAAAACTGATCGGCCGAAGAGATGGTTTAATGCCCTTTGGAAGAGGTCTTTGTGGGTGTGAAACATGACATGGTGAGAAATTTAAATTGGTCCCTCTTACAGTACTGAAATTAAGTCTACTTAATTTATCAAGACATGTTCATGCCCTGATTTTATATACTTGTATCTATCAATAAACATTGTGATACTTGACTTGTTTCTGAATGTCTCCCAGTAGAAAAGCTTTGGCTGATGACTTGTTCACTTAAGAAAGGAAACATCAGTGGGAGTTGCCTTAGGTTGCGACCATCCTGAAAATATTTTTACACTCCTTGTCTGGATATGCAGATGAATTCTAAATAAGGTTACAGACAAGATGAGACACTACAGATGTGTTGTGACAGGAAGAAAATGATGGAATTCTGCTGAAGAAATGGTAGGGGTTTGCCTTGTGGTCCAATGTATGCTTTATCAGTGAGTATGTGCTTTTGACTTGGTAATGCTTTGAGCTTCCCCCAGGCCACGTGCATGTTTCTGAATCAAGTGGCACTGTCTATTAGCTGCCTGTTTCTCAAATCAAATTGGCAAAATCCTTACAAAAGAGTTGAATGATGTTGCATTGTACAGGCTTGAAATGTCATCTATTAAATACTCAAAATACCTTACTTCCTAGAACCTTGTCCCCAGTGAGTTTTTTTGTCCTTGTGGATACTCGAGACACAACCTGTTGAAAGGTGTATTTGTAATGGCAAAAGGATAGTGGCTCTTGGACTGGAGCTCTGTTTGCCAGAGAGGTGTGAGTGCTGTAGCCTATAAACTGTTGTGCATCACGGGAGGTGCAGAAGTGGAGCCCAAGAAAAGGACTAGAGCTGATAACTAGGCTTGCTTTGAGGGAAGGGAGAGTTGGAGTTGGCCTGGAGCATCTCGTAATGCTGTGGCTGGAAAAGCAGGTGGTGGTTTGCTTTGAAGGGCTCCCGGGCTCCAGTCACAGTGAGCCATGGTCTGTCAGGGAGTTCTGCTACTGCCTTGGAACTTCTGGACAGCGTGGAGCCCAGGACATGCAGGTACTGTGCTCTGCAAGCCAGATGGCATAAAGGGTACTAAGCTTGAGTTGCTGGCAGAACGCCATGGCACCATCTCTGCATTTCAGAAATGGGGTGCATTCAGCAGTTTAGGGGGAGAGCAGGGTCAGTATCAGGATCCAGTACCAGCTAAGAGAGACGGGAATGCTCCAAACGCAGTTCAGTGGCTCGAGGCTGGGAGCTGGCTGTGATGGAGCTGCACCTCCTGGGTGGCAGTGGTGAGCACTGACAGCCTGGGGCTTCCCAGAACATTTAATGGCGTGGTGTTCTCTGAAACCCATGACTTCCCTATCTGTAGAAGGGATGCAGTCACTGCTGGAACTACAGGGGTGCAGACTTAACTCCTTATTCCATGTGCAGGCTCAGGTGTGTGTACACTACAGGCACTAAGGTTCTGCAGTTCAATACTTTAATTTAACAGGATGAACGAATACAAGTACAGTTAAAAGGTTAATTTAATCCTAATTAATTCAAAATTCTGTTCAAGAATTGCATTTTTAAGTATAATAAGGTGGTGTTAAGTGAAATTTACCATTGTTTCACTGATGGTGTTGTGTTTCTCCAAGTCTTGCCAGTTTATCCTTAAGCTTTGCTGTTACTGCTGGTTGGTTTAGTGGTGTGTGGTGCCACAATACTTTTTGTGCATCTGGTAATCTGTACGTGGAGGATGTGATGCACTCTGCATCTCTGCACTGCAGAGGGAGGATGGGGAGGAACCACAAGTGAGGAAAGAGTGGTTTCCAACTGAGGTTATACCAGAGGTGAGAAGAAAAGGTAGAAGGATGTGCAAGTAAAAGCTTGGGAATAGTTCCAGAACCTGCAGCTAAGCTTTTCTGCCACATTTTGGAGAAGGCTGAGCTGGCAGTTGAGGGCTCCTTGACACAGTAACTAAGCCTTGTATTCTTGCCCAGTCTACCATGTCCTTACTACAGCCTTACATACCTGTGCATGGAGGCCGTGTTGCTTGGCTTGTTGCTAACTGATCACTGAGTTAGGAACTCTGCTAGAGAAAACTATAGAAAGAACGACTAAAAAATGCAGAATAGAACATAAGAGTAGAAAATGCCACAAAAAGGTGGAATTAACCATCACCTGACTTGGAAAAAGCTGATGCAGTGTGCAACAGGTCTGGGTTCTTTAAACTGGTGTAAAAATGGTGCTTATTGCAGTGTGCACATCAAAGTGGTCTCTCCATAGATGAGGAGAGGTGGGTAGCATCTTCATGATCTTTACTGCTGCTGCTGAAGTTTTTAAGTGCTCAAGGGCAAAATGTGTGGCTAACCTGGAATGGGATGGCTTTGGGTCGGTCTCACTTCTGTGTTCTGTTGACTATGGTGGCATTGTACTTAAAATGTAAACAGAGTGCTCAATTCTACATAGTAAAGTCACAGTCAAAATTAAACCACTTTAACTGATAATTGATAATGGCTTTTATTAATATTTTGTTAAGTGCTGGGTATAATTATACTGCCAGGAGCTTTGGGAGAAACTGCACAATACACCTGTATTTTCTACCAGTTACAGCAACTCTCTTGATCCTCTGAAATTCTGAATGAGGTTGCAGTTCTTACTCAGGGACCCTAACCCTGTCAGGTGTGGGTTGGGTTTTGGTGACAAAGAGTGTCACAGTTGGACAGCTGCTGCCCTGATCACAGCACTAGTACCATCTGTCCAAGCTGCAGTGGTGCTTAGGTACGAAATCTGAGAATTCCAGGAATGTGTTCTGATTAGTGAATCCTGGAAAATCATCTCCTTCCAACCATCCTGTGATGTGTAGGGGAACCTCCCAAGAGACCACCTTGCTCAAAAGTTTTATTAAGCCTGGCCTTGAATAGTTACAGGGATGGGGTAGCCACAGGTTCTCTGAGCAACATGTTCAGTGTCTATCACCTTCATAGTAAAGATTTTCTTTTATCTCACCTAAACTCTGTTTGAAGCCATTCTCCCTTATCCTGTCATACCTGCCCTTGTCAGAAGTCCCTCTCCAGGTCTCTTGCAGAAGAACCTTCCCTCCCAGGGGGAGAGGCTGAAGTTGGGGTTGTTGAGCCTGTGGGTGTTCCAACTCACCTGATCAGTTCCTGAAAGTCAAAACATCTTCATAACTCCTATGCAGTTCAGTGTTTGGAGACCAGTGCTTTATGGTGATGTGGGAAAAGGAGGAGGCTGGGTCCAGAACAAAATTAAGAGTCTTATCTGACCTGCTTTTTAAGCAGATGGAAGCTTCCCTCTGAAACTATTTGGACTTGGAGTGCTTTCTCCCCAGAACAGTATGTAAATTCAAACAGTTTGATTATTTCAGCATACTTCTGAACTCTAAAAATTTAGAACACATCTGAACCATGAATTATGTTGCTTATGTTGCAATCCAGGCAAGCAGCTGCAGAGATTGATTTAAAAAGAGTCTATTGCTAATTCATGCTTATTCTCAGAAGTGAATTCCCAGGGAGCTGGTACAGCACTGTGAAGAGTGGTGGGCTTGTGCTCACCCGAGAAACCTCCACTTATCAACTGTGGTTGATAAATGAACAAGCAGTGTTTGCTTCAAAAGCTGCTCAGCTCCAGGCTTGTCCTGGTCTAGGCTGTGTGCAGGGGCTTGAGCTATGTGGCACCAGGGATGTCACAAGGATTCCCCTAAATCTGGAGGAGGTTGATACTTGGAAGCTGATAAATGGCCGTGGTGCAGCTCCTACATCAAATGCTTCCAATGACTGAGAAGGGCCGAGTGTGAGTCTAGTGGCAGAATGGGTCAAAGTGTCACACAAAGGTAGTGGCTTTTTTCCCTCACCTCACATAAATCTGTAAATTGATCACTGCTCCTTTTTATCTCCAGTGTTGCTGACCAGAGAACCAGAGCACACAGCAAGTCCTCTTGCCCAGCAGGCAGATCCAGGCTCAATTCAGGGGGCAAGATCCTGTAGGTGCAGCTCTAGCCTGGAACAATTGCATCTCCATACATTGTATCTGCAAAAGCAAAACAGAAACGGCACTGGGCTGGGAGCTGTGCTCTGTAACAGGAAAGGGAAAAGCTGCACAGCTACAGTTGCAGCATCAGGGTGTAACAGTGATTTAAAGGAGACTGTACCGGTGTGGCTTTGAGGGTTTTTTTATGGCAGGGTGGTTCTTCATACAACACAAGATACACCCACTAAAGCTTGTCATTACTTCAGAAGTGTGTTTGTTATTCAGCAAGATACAAGCCAGTTTCAGTGTCTCCCTGGATCCACCCCTATCCTGGCTTTTCAGAATAAGCTTTGCTTCTAAAAGATCAAGAATTCTCTCAACAGGTTCAGGCCTTTCCCTTTGACAGTCAGGCACTAAGACTGTTCAGGTAGGAGTTCCTTTTAAGTGGTGCTGTAAAAGCACACAGGCTTGTCTGGGTTTGATTTAGGGAGCCCACATCCCTTTCCTTTCAGGGAGGGTAGTTGGAGAGGAGTGAACTGTTATTTTTAATGAGTTGACGAAGCAGCCATGGCAACAGTTACACTTGGCATGGATACAGGGCTGGAGTGAGGAAAGCAGCCAGCTGGGGGGATTTTTATCTTCAAATATTTTGCAGTTTAGAACAACGTCAATCTTGCATTTAGTTTTTGTTTATGTTAGCAGTAGAAGTGCCTGAAGGATCTGGTGTGTGAAGTATTCCCTGAATTTTTTTATCTAAGAAGCTATGCAAAACCACTTAAGTTTGTGAAAGGAAAAGGGAGATCTTTAACTGGTTTGGTAGTGTGAAGGAATTTAGAGAGTTTGTTCTGTTAGAAAATGGATGCTTCTCTTTTTGCTAGGACAAAGTGAAATTTGAGAAGTGGAAAGTACATAGAGTTAAAACAAGGACAGGTGATCTGCATTTGTTTAGGGATCTTGTTTAACCCTTTAAGAAATGATTGCATGTTCTTTCAGCTTTCAGAGACAGCTGCCTCCACAGCAGAGTAACAAACAAGGCTCCTTGCACACGCAGCAGGCCAGCTTTGTGTTCCTTCCCAGAGGCATAAAGCAGGGGAAGGTTAAAGCCCTGGCGTTTTTCTATTTGTACAGACATACACACATACATGTTATGTATATCCCCGTTTTTCTTTATTCCTTTTGTTCCTCTTGGAGAAATGCCATTCAGTTACTCAATTATTTTAAGCTTAGGATGTTAATATTTCTGTGAGTAACAGTAGAAGCATTAGTTCTAATCCCTCTTCCCAATACTGACAACAAAACAGGAACTGGCCTGGGGTTCAGCTGCCATGTTAACCTTAAACAGCCCTGTGAGCCAAGCTGAGAAGGTCAGGGCTCACTCAGTTTCACACAAAGAACATTTTTAAAGTCAAGAGAGGCCCAGCACGACACAGCCATGAGAGGCAGGGGAGGTGCACTGCACTGCTTTTGGGCTGTACACAACTGATTACTCACTTGATCAACACAGCAGTTTCAGCTCCTGCTCCAGTGAAGGTTTCCATGGTGACCTCCAATTTCCCAAACTCTCCCAGCTATAGGGTTGATGTAATTTAATTGGCAAGACCATGAAGAATTTAGCTCTGATGAAAGGCCCTTCATAAATTCAATTAGATAAATATCTCAGTAGATTTACCATGCAGGTAGGGACCATAATGCAGTAAAACCCCAGCACATACCTGCCACAGGTGCAACCTGTCAGTGGCAGTCCAGGGGCTGGAATGGCTCTGATAAAAGACATCAGTTATAAATACAGAATGTGCTATTCTATCAGCAATCCTTGTGAAATTTTTGTCAGTGCAAATTCCATGATACTCTTCATGAAGGACTGAAGTGCAACTCACTTCAGGAATCATTTCATATTTTACATAATCTCCTCAAAGACTTTACACACTTAAACTGGTTTGCAAGGGGAAATGTCATTGATTCAAACTCTTCCTTCCCCTCTTGCTTTAGAAAGAGGCTCCTCCTTGGATGGAACAATATAAATCCAGGAAATCCTGTTACTTCTGACATCACATGAGCTTTGGATTTCATCCTTCAACAAGGAACATAAAAAGACACTATGGGTTGAGTTGAATCCTGGTACTACACCTGTTACCTGTACAGTAAGACACACAACCAGCAGCTAAATTAGACACTAGAGCCTGGAAAGATGGGAATGGGCTCCTACAGAACCTGGGGCAGGCACTGGAACAGCCCAGGCTGAGAGCTTTGGATCCCAGCACAGAGGAAAAGTCTCCCTGCATTGCACCACCATAAACACTGTGCTGTCTCTGTGTACTCACCCCAGCACCTCCAGGAGCTCCCAATTCCCAGATGCTGTTTGCTAGGCTCTTTCACAGCTCCACAAGAAGTAATCCTCAGTTTGGCTGACAATCTGAATAAAGCTTGCTGTTGGCATTTGCTGAAATAGCAGACATAAAGCACAATTTGGGGAGAAAAACCCCTAAATGTAACAAAATAATCTCATAAAAGCACAATTAAGAAGGGAGCTGGGAGAAGGATGCCAGCTGTATTCATGCCTGTTCTGGAAAACGTCCCTTTCAGTTGCTCAGTGTGATAAAGGTTCATGTAAACTTGATCCTACTGGATTGGTCTAGGGAGGAGAGAGAGGGGAAAATTCCATCTGAATTGAAAGCTGATTCAAGTGAATAACAAAGAAAACATCTGAGTTTCTGCGGTGCTGGGTGGGATTCTTCTTACTTAACTATCCAAATGCTGGGTGTCTAGACATCCCCTCCTGGGGCAGCAGACAGGAACAGGTTCCTCAGAGTGACTCATCCCTCCCACCTTACACAATTACCTTGGGATGGGATGATTTGCCCCCTGGGGATGCCAGCCCCTGGGTCTCTCTCTACAAGGTGTCTAGACTGCTAATTTTTAGATGTCTGAAGATAAATAAAATTCACTTAAATCACCTGGCTCTATAACACTGTAATAAAATGTACCACTGTTGCTAGAGGAAAATTTAAGAAAGTGATTGATCCAGCCCTTTTTTTTTTTTTTTCTGGTGACAGCATGAGATTGATGCAATTTGGAAATCAACATAGTAATTTTCTCTACACAGCACTTACAGCAATCTATTTAATTAGAATTTCAAATTTAGATATATAACCTGTAGGATCTTATGCAGGAAATACACACAGCTCTATGGGAAAAAACAAAACCAGCAACACACATAATGAAAATTTTGGCCATAGTGTCTCTCAAGGACTCTGAAATTCTTATTTTTTTAACACCATCTTTCAAAAGCTCATTTTATCAAATTGGTGATCATTACTTACAAAATTATTTTGTCTTTTTGTTTTTCCTTCTTGATTTTTCTGCTTCTGGAGACTTCAGGAGTTTCTCTAAAACACTGGATTTCTCTAACCCACATTCCTCCCCCTTGTCTTCTTTGCCCTGTTGAAGGGTGTCAGCCCCACTTCCCTACAGCCTCTTCAGCGGCTGCAGCTCTGAATTGCTGAGACAGCTCTCTCTGAGCCCAGGGGAGACAATTATGGAATTCAGAACCACCACAAAGGCAAATAAATGCACACGTGCTTCCCCACACATCACCCTGTGCTACCTCCCTCCCCATTTTCCACTCTAACCATTCAAGGATGTGAGATGAATCCACCAAAACCTAAATCCAGAATGTTTGAATTAGAAATCTTGACACATAGTAAATTCTGGTTTGTTTTTTCTCACTTTTCCAATTTTGTAACCCTAGGAGACTTCCCTTCAGACATCCAGGCTTTTCACTGCAGCCACAAAGGCTGAACACTTAAAACAACAAACGGCCAAACAAAAAAAACCCAATCAAAGACAATAAAACAAAAAATCCCAAAATGAGGAGTGTTAGTTCCCATTGTTCTTGCAGGTGAGGCTTAGAGCAAGCAGCAGGTAAAACAAGAATCAGGATCAAACAAGGTGGCAATACTGAATACAGAACTTGATGCTCTGCTGCTCAGGGACAAGTGCATTAATCAAAAGGAACTCGTGGGAAGCAGACAGCAGGTAAAGAAGCCCTGCAATCTGACAAAACTCCCTAGATTTATTAATATATCAATACCTTTTATTTAAGAAGCTTGCTTTGCTTTAAATTTAGATTTGTCCTCCCCTGATTCTCTCAGCTGGATTTTTAGCTTATTCTTTTCATGTTCTACATGAGTGTTCTCCAAGATAACTCTCCATTATTCTATGCAGTCCCAGCTTGCTTTCAAAATAATCCTTTTCCACTTGACATTAATCATGGCTGTAATTTCCTTTAACTGAAGTGACAAGAACACTCCCTTTTATATCTCTCAACTTCACAGGTCAATCTGAAATTACACAGTACCATTTTAACTGTGAGATTAATGTTACCAACTGCTTTTGTTAAAAAACGAAAATTAAAAAAAAATCACCAAATAAAAAAAATTCTAAACATTATTCCCAAGATTGGGTGTGGATTTAGCACATTTATTACCAGGGGCTAAAGCAGCACCTCTTTAGTGCTGCTAAAGCACTAAATTTTGCCTCTCAAGGCAGCAGCTCCCAGGGAAGGGAAGAAGCACAGCCAGGACATGGCTTCCACTCCCTTCTCTGCCCACACCCCCACCTGAATTTTGCTCACACTGTTGCTTTTTAAGTTGACTTTGTTTTCTGGTCCCATGAACCACTTAGAGCATCCACAAGAAAGTATATTCCATGTGTTGATCCAAATGGCCATCTCCATCAGAGAGATGCAAATCAAAAGGATTTCTCCTTCAGGAAAAGAAATTATGGGCTATGGAATAACCAGTACTGGTGCAGCTTTTCTCCTATACCCCAAAGTTACACTATTGGCTCATTTTAGTCATGTCAGATTTACTGATTCTTAAAAAGAGATCACAGAAATGCATCCTCTTAACTATGAATAAAAGCAGTGTCTGCAGTTGTAGCAATTAATAGTTGAGATATTGATCAGGGAGTTCACAACAAAAATTCACAACTGGGAATTAAAGTAAACTCAAGTGGAAGGCAGGAGGAAGGATGCTAAATATTAGGATAGGACCATAAGTCCAGGGAAATACAATCACTGGACTGTACCTAAAGCAGAGGCTGTGGTTGTTTTGGATTTGTTTTTTTTAAACAAATCATCACAGGAAGTTTTTCCAAACAAAACAAATGCATGTGATTATTTGGCAACCTCAGTGATTGAGCAACTACAACCACAGCCTCTGCTGAAGCTCTCCAGGAGATATTGATTAATGGCCTACAAAAAGTGCTCTGTGAAAGCAAAGCAACTTCACAGCAGCTTAATTTGGACAGGAATTGAATCATGTCATGCCTGGCCAAAACCAGCTCTTCAATGTGGGGATCACAACAAGGATGGTCAGCTTTTAGCAATAAAGGTTTAATTCTGTAAGACAATTCTGGCCCTAATTTGTTTCCAAGTCATTCTCTTGGCCTGCACTTCAACCTTTCTAATAGCAAAATTATGTGTTTATAGTTTTCTTTATTTAAATTAAACCATTCAAAACCAAACACAGATCTTTTTCACCAGATTTTATCTTAGGAAGAAGGAGAAAGAAGCTGTGGTTCTGTTACTAATCAAGTAACAATGTTTGTCATTTTTTAAATCAAGGTACAGTTTATGCTCCAAAAACCTTGCAGATCAGACAAAAATTCAGTACAGCTCAGTAAGGAATCATCCTGCCCCAAAGCAGCTTCATGTCAGTACTACATGAAATGGGATCCTGATGCACAATCTGGATCTCACATCTTCACCCATCTCCTTGCCCACCATGTTTTCTTACACATTTCTTAAAAGCAACACCAAAACCAAAAATGCATGAAAATCCTAAGAAATACAACATCACTTCAGCTGGCATACAGCAACAGGACATTCTGCAAAAGTACAGCTGAAGGGAAGTGCTGCTGTTGTGGGGCAATTTAGGCCAGGATGGAGAACAATTTAAAACTTGCAATTCTTTTTCACTGAGAACAATTTCTATGCAAATATTATAGATACAACCAACCTCTCACTTATGTAGAGCTTGCACTGCAGCCACCTGAGGTGAATCTTGAGTTCTTGGATCACTGCACAGTCTGGACTGGACAAATCACTTCAGATTCTTGTGTCTTTTATGTTACATTTTTCCTATTTTTAACATATACTTCACTTGATTTTAATTTTACAATTTCCAGTCTCCAGTTTTACAGTTGGACAGATCAATAGTGCCTGCACATGCACTGAATAAAATATCCTTTCCCTGCACTGTTTAAAGGCAACAGAAATTGAAACACTCCTGGCAAGGTGAGTGCCTCTAGGGGCATTAATTACAGACAAGTGAGTGCAGAGCAAAAAAACCAAACACAGAAGATGCAAGATAGAAATACAGAGACCCAAGTAATTAAGGATCAAGACTATAAATAATGCCTATCTAAGCACTGATCTGACACATCTTTGATTTTCTTTCCTTCCTTGCCCCTTCCAGTAATACCATTCTGTTTATATGGCAACTCCTAATTACCTCGTGGCCATACCTTGGCTACTGCCTGGACAAACCTTGAGCAGCCCAGACTGCAGAAGGAAATGAGGAACACCCCAAAAGTTATGGGTTCTACCTCCTGCAGTCCATGCCAATTCCCCCAATGCAGTGCCCATAAAACAAAACAGCTGCATGAAAATGGACTTGTCTGTATGAACACTTTGACTAAAACCACCACCCTGAATTTGTGCATGAATGTGCTTTGTTCCTGCAAACCCAAACGAGACCTAATTCCTCTTTCCTTTTAGTGGTAGTAAATAGCTGCTGACAATAATTCTTCCTCTCCAGCTGCTCTGGGACAGCTTCCCACAAGAAAAAAGAATGTTACCTTTTGGTTAGACAGATTCCCATGAGAAAATGGAACACGTACTGGAATAATTCAGCACAGCATAACAGATACAGACAGCTTAGAGCAGTTCAAACTCTATTTAAAGCTGGAACAAAGCAGTTATTTGTCTTTAAAGAGTGGAGATGGATGAAGAGGTGTTTCATGTTCTCTGAGGCATCTTCAGAATTGGTAGTTAACTGTCACCAGCTCAGAGCAAGACTGGTATTTATCAGTATTTATCAGAATTAGCTCTGCCTAAAGGAATCTGTGGTTCAGCCAGTGTCTGTACAGCCAGAACCTCCAGGTGCAAAGGTGGGAAGACTCCAAAACCAGTTTTCTCTAATAGAGTTGTGGAACCAGACAGAGAGAATACAGCATTGCATGAGATTGTTCTTAAATTACAACCTCCTCTGTCCTATAGAATGAACAGCCAGCAAAGATGAGCTCTCTACTAACTACCTGTGTGTGCCCTAAATCAGAAAGTCATTTCTGAATTAGCAGATAGAGTCTGGAACATTCTGGCTGAGGAACATAGATTGTGTAACCAACTCAACTGCACCTTTGACAGGAGGCCCTAAGAACCAGAGTGGGCCCACAATATTCCTCAAAATGTCCAGGAATGTTTTAGGTGTTCCTCAGTATGTCCAAGAATGCTTTAGCTGCTGCAATTAGCACATGGGATTTGCATACGAGACTGGCAAGAGAGCAGATTCAAGTGCTAAGAACTCTGAAGGGTTCAAAAACATTTAAAGAGCCAGAGCATTGCTTGGAGCCTTCCAAGGCCAAAGAAAACACCCTGGATGTCACTGCCACAAACACTCACCCTCAGGTACTAAAACCCCCTGTTTTCTTCAGCTGGAACTGGGTATTTGTATTTTCATCAGCAAAGGCTGGGTGGGAAGGTATGAAATTCCTGTATGCTGCTGAGCCAAACAGCACTGCTGGAGTTCAGGCAACACCACAGCAATGCTGGGGGCATCTCCAAACAGGGAGATAAAGGGACATGCATAAAATATGGATGACACACGTTTAGAAGCAGCAATAGGGACTCTTTAGCATTTATCATTTCAAATGGAGGTAAACTCTTAAAAATAAGCTCTGGAAGCTGCAGTGAAAGATTTTGCTTCAGGGCAAAGGAAGAATTAAAAAGAGGAAGAAAACAACCTAGAGGCACTTAAAGAACCACAGAGCTGTGATAAATATTCTTAATCTCTCCAACAGTCATGAACCAGAGGTAAAAAAGCCATTACAAGCTGCATGACTACACAACTGTACCTTCTATAGGTGCTGCCAAGACCAAAAAATTCTGCAGTTCCAAGTATTTCCACTACAGAAGTATGAAGCTTGAGCAGATGTGGACCAAAATTCACAGACAGGATGGAAATAATACACATTTTCAGTATATACTGACTTTGAATTTCTCTCCTAAATATTCCCTTATCTGGTATTCCCTTCTATTCTCTCTCCAATTCAAATTCTCTTCTGCAGAGCAATTATTGTGTAGATAAATAACAAAATACTATTATTAGGAGTGAGTACTAGTAGCTATAAGAATAATGATCATTTAGTTACATACCTTTTTTCACATCTGTTTTGCCAATTAGTTTTGTTACTCATATTGATTCTGAATTTGTCCCTGCTAACTGCTCCAGCTGTAGGAATTTTTCCAGGTAACTTCTGAGCTCCAGATTAATTGACTGTAGTTACTGTAAGGTAACTACCACTATTTAACAAGGGAGTCTAAAAAAACTGCAAAACTCAGTAAGGAGGAAAAAAGTAGGGAGCAAATTTGTTCCAGAAAGCCTACAAGTCTTAATAGAAGATGCCAACAGTATTAATTAACCCTCAATGTAATTTTAAAACTTTGCTGCAACAAACACAGCTCTAAGCAGTGAAATATTTAATGTGGAAAGCAATTTATTCCCAGGAAGTGGCACTTCCTTATAGAAAGAACTGATATAATTTTAGCTGTTGTGCTCCTACCATAGTTCTTGCTTTGTCCAAACCCTTCCTTTGCAGCACATTCCCAGATATACTCCTTGCTTCTGTGTGGATGGAGTACTGTGCTTTTCTGAGTTAAATTAGCAGAAGTGGACATTTATGAAGAGAATTATCGATTTACACACAGATGCTTTGTCATTCAGCAGTGACAGCTACTCCTTCCCACCAAGTACTGACCTGCACAAGCTTCTGAAAGAGAAAATTGAGTAAGTGGATTAAAACACCAAAAACTTACAAACACACACTCCAAACAAATCCCCTCTTCCATCTCTCCTCCTCCAAAAAAAATCCCCAAACCAAAATACCCAATTCAGCAACTTCAATTTTTTTGCCAAGTTACATTTGAAATGTTCTGTGAAAGGCCAGATCTACAAATTTCAGGAATGAGAGCAAATTCTACATGCTTCTTTCCTCTTGTATTCTGGAGATTATGTGCTGCTCACAAGTGAGGACAGCAAAATGCTGAGCTGCAACAGAGCTCACCAGGAAACACTTCCTACATCCATGGAAATGTGGATTGAATGGATGTAATCCACATCATGCAACTGTGCATGCAAAATGGAAACTAGGAATAAACCACTTCTCTAGCAAGGCAGTGTCACACTTGTAACTTGCTGTATTTTATCCAGGAATAGATTACTGCTAAAAATAAAGGAATTCAATAGCTGCAAGCCAACCACCTACTTCAGAAGGCAAGGAATGCTGCCAAGAGAGAATTATGACAATGTTATTCCACCACAGCACTTTCAAAAAACAAGCATTAGAAAACATGAATTAAGCTAAAACACAGCTTTCTCTCCAATTACAGCAACCCATGACTTTTTATATAACCTTAATCCTCCCATTAACTCTCCTCCTCAAAGGGAAGAAGAGAGAAAATGACTTCTGGTTTTTGGTGGCTTTTTTGATTCCTCTTTTGCTACATAAAAGCAGAGGAACAGCGAAGCCAAAGCATCCCTTGTTCCCTTTCTGTCCCTTTTGATTGGCCTCTTGTACATCACACAATTCAAGCTGTATTAAGTCATAACCTCTCCTTTCTGTGGAGAGCACACAAAATACCTCTCCCACAAGAGATGACTGAAAATCCCTGTTATTTTACCCTTCCAGGAAGCACTTCTCTCCAGCTGCATCTTAGGTCTGAAGACCCACTCAGCACTTCTTCATCCAGAGCTATCTTTAGCCAACACAAAATGTATTTTCTGTACATACATCATCAAACAAAATCTTCAGACTTTTCACAAGGAAGATAGAATTAGCAACAAAATAGAGAAAGCTATGACAGCAGAGATGTATTTAAGGCAGAGAAGTTTCTAAGATCTCATAGTAAGTGCTGTACATCTTTTTCCTTCCTTCCTATTGATAAGAGCTGGCTACTCTCACATCTGCCACTGCTGTCCATGCTCCATTTGTTTCACCTTGCATGTTATCAGTTTTTCTTAGTTGCACTAATTTCCTCAAACTTCTCCACAGCCTCATAAATGAAGCCACATGACACCAAGCATTCCCACCCTGGCTATCCACTGTGGTTTTGGGTCATCATTCAGCTTTGCTCTGACCCAACAAACCTGAGGGTTCTTCTACTCAGATGCTGTGTTTTAGGTAAGGCCACAGACAGAAACTTGATACCAAACTGAGCCACAGGAGACACATCTCGAGTGTTCTGCATTCTGCTGTCTGCTATGGTTACCAACAGCCCATAAACACATGAACAAACCCATCCACATGAGAACAGCTCATGCTCACAGCAAACCAGAAATAGCAGCATGGGAAACTTCACTTTCACTTGGTGCTTCAAGAGAACTAGCAGTAGTGACAATCCAGGCCTCCATGTAGGCCATAATGTCTATTACAACTGGTAGCAATACACTATCCAGACCTACAGAATCTTCTCTTAGCAAATGCTTGACACAGGACTTAATGACCACTGAAAAAAGAAAAAAAATTCCTTGGACTGGTAGAAAATACTGATTTTTTTTTTCACAACCACAGAATGAAATCAGATTTAGCCTACAGCACAGCAATTTTTCATTGTTATTCCTGAATACATTATGTGAAAAGACTTAGCTCCCGAAGTCATGTACTTACAACACAGTCAGGACCACCTTCTCCAGATTCCATTGTCAAATTCAACATTTTCAGGTATTCTGCTTATACTTTCTAAGGAGTAAAATAAATCACTCCAAGCAAATAAGCAAGAACATTTTATTGCAACACTTGCAGCTTTACCTTTCTCAAGTAATACAGAGTTCTCCCAAATGTCTTTACCAGCCAATTTAAATATTTCATCTACATCTGCATCACCAGTTTATAAAATTTCTCTAAGATCTTCATATTTTCAACTGATTTAACGTAAAAACAGAAGCAAAAGAACAAACTCTCAAAAACATAAAAGAGCTGCATCGTGGCACATTTATTCTTTAATAGAAAGTAAGAAAAACCTCCCTACTGACCTTTATTCCGAGTGAGGAAAAAGATAAATATCCACAGCTCTTTGTCGCATCTGGTAGGATTTTAAGATCCATCTATGCATGTATAATCACAGAACAAAGTTTTAGCCACACTGAACCACCTAAGGAGATTTTATGTTCCTTAGTTTTTACATGCATTCCATCCTCGGTGCTGACTACAGGACAGAGATTCTGCTCACCTACAGTGGTTTGAATTCAAAAAGACACCATTAAGCCAACTTAGAGAAACATCCATTAGTAACTAACAGAAAGAATCACAAGGAAGTCTCACGACAGTTTACTAAAACATTAAGGTTCTTTAAATCACAGTTTTGAAATATAAAAATTCTATCTCCCCTGTAACTGAGACATATTTACATGAAGGTTTTTAAAAGATGCTCTGTAATTCAGCTCTAATCGCTGTCATCGGAGCCCCCTTCAGAGCCCTCATCATTGGATGCCTCTGGCTCAGACTCGTTCGCAGAGGCTCTGGCAGAGCCCTCGTGCTCAGAGCCTCTCTCGGAGTCTCTGTCGGACTCGGCGCTGCGCGAAGCCGGCCGCGATTCGTTCTCGGAGCCGCCGGAGCCGCGGCTCCTCCCCGACTGCACGGACTCATTGTCCGACTGCTCCGACTCGGAGCGCCGCCTCTTCCTCGGGGACCGGTCACTGTCAGACTCCTCCTCGGAGGCGCGGGCGCTGGACCTGCGGGGAGTGCCGGCCTCGCTGCCAGACTTGTTCCTGTTATCGGAATCGCTATCGGAAACGATGCGTTTGCTGTGCTGCTGCTCCCCGTCCTCAGAATCACTGTTGCTATTTCTAGCGTGACTGTGAGGAAAAGCAGAGGGGAAAAATGGTATTAAAAGGTGCTCCCTTTAGCTGATAAATTAATCAAGACACCAGGATTTGGGTAGTGTTAGTGTTAGAAGAATGAGTGGAATTAATTTGCACTGAGAAGAGATTTTGAGTACAGAGAAAAACTTCTCATTATCTTTGTGTTATCTCATCAACAATGCGTCTTCTCTTGAAGGCATGCATTGAAACTCTAAGTTCATACAGAGTTAATTAAGGTTCTTACCCATCATCAGCAATTTTGAGTTTGTCCTCATCAGAAGAATCATCACTTGATGAAATGATGGCTTTTGATTTGATCTTCCCTTTCATTGAAGGAGGCAGACGTTCTGGTTTGGGCTGTATAGGGCGAAAACAAAGGGCTGCTTGTTCATACGGCACAGGGCCCAAATGCAGAAACACGTTCAGAAAAACAGATACACTTTTAAAAATTTTTCCATTTACTATCACTTAATTCTAGATGGTTTTGGAAATATCCTTTTCATCCTTGAAGTAGCAATGGCAACAGGGCAGGAGGATAAAAATAAGCTCTAAGGCCAGTTGGCTTTCAAGAGGTTTTGCTATAATTTTCAACACTAATAAATCTCTCTTGACCAGGGTAATGCTGAACTCCAAATACATATTTAGAGAGTGATGCAGTTATTCAGGGTTTAACTTACAGCCTTCTTCTTCTCTGCTTTGGGTGGACGTCGCTTTTTAGGCCGAGGGCCGTTTTCGTGCTCTTCATCATCACTGCCCTCTTCTGCCTTCTGGGGTCTTGAACAGAAACACATTTTATATGGCATAAAGCATTACACTGCAAAAAACCCTTCAAACACACAAAAATACCAGTCTCAAGGAACGTCCTGTTCATCAAGTGTTACTCCTACTTCTTTTGCAGAGTGGTTGTTGAAGTCTTATAATGTGTAATGTGTAAGTAAAAAATAACCATGTGACCTCTTGATAAAAGTTTGTTTTTAAACTGTTACAAAACACTGCAGAGAATTTACTAAAAAGCCCTACTATTGCTCAGGGAAGTCTATTATTAAATTAACATTAATTAATAATTAATTAATTAAAGTATCAGCTACCTCCTCCTCTTCTTCTTCTTTCTCTCACCCTCCTCTTCTTCTCCATCCTGTTCACTGCCACTGCCCTTCCTCTTCTTTTTCTTTCTGGAGATGGGCAGATCTTCATCACTGTCATCATTGACAAACTCATCAAACTCCCCTGCTCCTTTCTTGGAACGCTGTAAGAAACACAGACAACGCAACTTATTATTCACATCCCAGTTACAAAGCTACCAGGAAATACTTCGAAATGGAAATTCAGCTGAATCTCTGGAAAAGATGAAAAAATACAGACCTTCTAGAGACTATGGCAGAGTTGGTACAAGATGGCTATCATTTAGAAACTGATTCAGAACTGGCACATGATAAGAAGATAATTGTCTGTTATTTTAACAATTGAACAGATTTTAGTGATGCCACTAAGCTCAGAACTTTTAAGTATTAGCTTCCAATTCTGACATTTTAGTATTAAACCCGTGCAGTTTTACTCAGTAGAGCCTAGGAGCTTGAAATTAAAAACCCGTGCTTCTGCAGAGACCATGTACCAGAAGGAAAATTCAGGAGGTTTAAAAGAAAAAAAACAAAAAAGAGATAAAAAAAATTTGTTCTACCCTGCCTCCACCACCACCACGTTTTTTCTCTTTTGATCCTTCTACTTCACCAGTGAACATCAGAATATTCTTGGTCTTCTCCACATATTGAGCTCTTTGTTCCAGAAGTTTCTTCTGCTCTTCTTTTTCTCTCAGGCGCTTCTCTTCCTGAAACACCAAGGAAGCCAACCATTACCACTGTATTTGCACCACCACGATGATTATAATAGCAGGCACAGAAAT